CAGAGTAAAGGGAAAAAAATGCCAAAAAAAATATTTTCATTTACGAAATTTGGCAAATTTAAAAAATAATTTTAATCCGTATTACTCCAAGGTAGCAGGGAAGTATTGTTAAATCAAACCAAAACTATTCACAATTCATTAGTTTTAATTAAACTTAGAAAAGGTTATGTAAATACTGCTTAAGTTTTTTATCTTTTCATTTATCTTAGCTACTATTTCGTTTACTTATCTCTGTTACTATCAGCGAATGTGTGTGTGTGTGTATCTTTTGGCAAATTAATTTTCATATTTTTTGTTACGTTTACTATTTGTATTTTATTAAAGATTTCAACATTTCCTTACCTCATGACCTTTATAGTATTTTGCGTTTTCTTCACTTCCAGTTTCATAAGAATATTCACAGTATACTTTTAGTATTTCTTTTATATGTTTCTTGTGCATATTTTACGGTTCATAAGTAGTTAACAAGATAAAAAGAAAACACAAAACTAAAGTATTCGAAAATGTTATGCCAATCTTGTTTTAGAGTCAAATCTAAAAAGATTTTTGAAAAACAAATACAGTGTGTAAGAGAATCTAAACTATAAATATAGAAAACTTATAATACCTTGAATAGTAAAGCTAAATCGTCTTCTATGGTTCCGACCTATTTCCTATTTAAAATTATAATAGCAACAAAATTATAAATTTTTTGTTGTTGTATTTTACATAAATTAATTATAAATCTATAAAATGTCTACTTTTTCATGTTTGCAAATAAATTGCTTAAATAATTAATTCTTTTGAAATTTCAATTAATATCCCGCATATCCAAGGATATTAAAAAAATCCTGAAAAACAAAGACCAAAATTCTTTTAGAGTATATTTACACCCACTGTTTTGCCAGGAAGTGAACAAAAACACACTATTGCCAAAAAAATTTGTACAAAAAATACAGTAACAAATATAAATATTTTAAATTTGTTCAACACTAACACATATTTGTTTCACCAATTCTCTTTTCATAATATTAAATTTTTGTGCAGAAATTTTATTAAGAAAAGAAATCAAGACTATTAAAAAAAAGTCAACCTTAACAAAAAAGCAGCAAAAAAATTTAAATGAAACGAAGCCAAAAAAAGGGGAAAATATCATTTTAGTTTTTTTCCCAGTGGGTTTCTCTCAAATTTCTACATTGCAAAAGTGTATGTTTCAATGCCAATTTCATCAAATTTAAATCCATTAAAAATTGATGATTTGTTAGGAATACAAAAAAAAAAAATTGCAAAACACAAAAGTATTTTTATATATGTAAAAAGGTCAGGAAATGTACTTTTTTCCTAAGAATAAATATTAAAAAAAACTGTAACAAGCTGGAAATTGAATGCCTAAGACAATTTACCAAAGATAAATCAAAGAAATATGTTTGTGTAATCACAAAACAGGAAATAGCATAAAACTTTAATTTACATATTTAAAAAAAATCTTTATGGTATGTATTTTAGTTGATTTATTTATAAATTTTACTAAGACTTTTTTACTTTGTATAACATTTTTGTTTTGTTATGTTTGTAGATATTTATTGTCAAATAATTGGTTTGAGATTTAAAAGAAATTATTTGTAAGACAAATTTAAGCTTTCTTATGTTATATAAGTAACAACATTTTTTTTTTGTCAAATCATTTATGTTCTTAGAAAAATTAAAAAGAAAAATATTTCATTTCCCTGGTGCTTAGTTAACCTACATAAATTAAAAGTGAAAAATTATAAAAGAATTTTTTTTACTTATTATAGTTGTGGTTACAATCTTTCCATTTATAACGGATACAAATACTTATTTTCTATTAATAACTTCATTGTTAAAATTCTCTATTTAGAAACATTTTGTGAAAAAATCAGCTTGCCTTCACTTTCATCTATACAATTTTAAGACGAATATTTAAGAAATACATGAAATTTTAGTAATTTGTCGAATATTTTACATTGTTAAGTAAATACTTATGTAATAGGATATTCAAGTCATTTTATCTGTAAGAAACAGGGATGGAAAACGAAACTTACTACATCAAATTCGAAGAAATACACCTAGGCCATCATCGGGCCTGTTGTGCGCTCCTTTTTATGAAAACAATAAAAAAAATTGTTCACTGAATGTATTATTTTTCAATGTTCAATCATACTAACTTCAGACTTGCTCATTTTTCTCGTCCTGCTCTCATCAGGGTCAACCTATAGGATCTTTGTCGTTCTACCCACAGTTTCATTACTCCAAGAGGCCTTATGGGATTCCCTCAACCATATTTTTATACCCACCATAAAAAATAGATGGGGGTACATTGATATTATCATTCCGCTTGTAACATATCAAAATATTGGTTGTAGGCCCACAAAAGTTTATATCTACTGGGTCCTTATTAAATTCTAAGACGATCACTGTAGAGTCCGAACGAAATGAGCTATATGATTGAAACTTTCCACAAATATTCTCTATAGGTAAAGTTTGTTTGGTATTGAAAATGGGAAATATCGGTCTACGTTTTCGGATATCCCCCATACAAGTGGACCCCCGAAGAATAGCTTTAACGGGCATATCTGTTTTAAAAGTACGAGTATAGCGATGAAATTCGACACAAATAAGTTTCATATATTCCAAAATCTCCCTACTACATTTTATGAGGATCGATCCATAATTGACCCTATACCCCATTTAAGGTCCCCTTCAGAAAATGACTTTAACGTTCATTACTGGCTTAGAAATACGAGTATAGTGATGAAATTCGACATACATAAGTTTCAATGGAGCCAAAACTTTTTTACCAAGTTTTATGTGGATTGACTCTACCCCCTATATAAGGCCCCTTCAAAAAGTGACTTTAACGATCATTAGTGGCTTAAAAATACGAGTAAAGCGATGAAATTCGACCCTATTAAGTTCCTTGCGAACCAAAACCACTTAACCAAATTTTATGTGGATAGGTCCATAATTGACCTTCAGATAATTATTTTTAAGCTCATTAAAAGTACGAGTATAGAGATGAAATCCGACATAAGTAAGTTTCTTACGAGTCAGAACCTCTCTAGTGACTTTTATGGATTCTGCATATGATTGACCCTCATATAAGCTCCCCTTCAGAAAATAACTTTAAAGCTCATTATTGGCATAGAAATACGAGAAAAGCGATGAAATTCGAAAAACGTATGTTTTATACGAGTTAAAATCTCTCTACCAAATTTATTGAGGATCGGTCCATAAGAAAATTACTTTAACGATCATTGCTGACTTAAAGATACAGCTGGATGTAACACTCTTACTTGTTAATTCTGCTATTGTTGCGTCGAATGGTGTTTATCAGGTTAACTACTTAGAGCTCCATTTCCTTTAAAGCTACTACATTCGCCCTTTCGTTGCAGAATACTCCCGAATGGCCTGATACCCATATTAAGTAAACCTTAGCTATGGGAGAGTATTCAGTTAAAGCTTTCTTACAATCCAATACGGTCTTAGATTTAATTCTATTACCTGATATCGCCCTAAGTGCCTTCTGGCAGTCGGTAAATATATTAAGAGCTATGGGTGCCATATTTATTCTTACACTTTTATAAATCCAATTTGTCCCCATTTCATGCCTATAGTTTTCCTACATATCGCCCAGCACCGATGTGCCTTGTTGATCTATGTGGTGTTTAAATTTTAATTTCTGTCAAGGATTATACCAAAGTACCTAACTTTGTCTGTCAACTGTATCTTCCTGCCCAGGAAGCAAGGTTCAGTATACGTAGAAACTTTTGGCTTTTTGTGAAAAGATAGATTTCTGTTTTCGGCGGCTTAACATTGAGGCCGTATTTAGAGCCTCCTTAGCTCTTCTACACAAGTAATTTGAATAGTTTCCCTTTAAAAGGCTGCATAGCAGACAGTTCTAAGTCTTTTCTCGGTTGGGTCCTTAGGAGGATATTCATCGTGGTAACCCAGAGTAAAAGTGATAAAATTCCACCCTGTTGTATACCGCGAAATACCTTTTTCCTGCTAGTTATATAGTACATCTCGCTGCTTATCCATCTATTCCATAGCATGTAATTGATACAGTTACGAAGCACCCGGTCAACATAAAACTGGTCTAGGGATTGGATAAGAGTATCAGTGTGCACGTTATTGAAGGCGCTTTCGATGTCAATGCATCAAAGGCGTGAAGACTTTAATCATTTGTATCCTAGAGCCTCTAGTATAGAAGAAAATTGACGGTTTTACGTTTTCAGTGAAAAATTAATTTTTGTTGGGATCTTTTGGTGGATCACCATATCCCACTAAGCGGCCAAAAAGCTTTTAACGGAATAGCTTTCTTTTGAGCAAAAATAAAGAAAATGTTAATTTGACAAAAAAATATCCAATTTTTTGTAAATATTTTGGAATGATTTTTCTAGGAAATAAGTTCCAAAGTTACCAAACTACACGTTTGGTAAAATTGACACACTTTGATCCACTATAACTCAGAAAGTTCTTGACCGATCTTGTCTAAGCTACTATGCAATAGAACTAACATTGGTGCAAATTTCATACTGATCAGAAGACGTTAGTTTGAATGGGTCAAAGGGTCGTATTGACACATATTAGTTAAGTTGCTTTAAAAATGTAAGAAATGAAATTTAAAGAATTTTTTATTGAAAAAGGTTGAAAATAGCTCATGTAACTTGTAGTAAACACAGCCTTTAATCTTATACAAAACTAATACACTGACAATATACAAAATCTAAATGACATTTTCCTGGATAGACTTTTATCCAACCACAAGAAATAATTTAAAATATTGACATTTCGTAACACTTAAATAAAAAACAGCCTACTCTCTAATCTGACCAAAAACTAAGTTATTTACCACATAATATTTTATTTAAATTTTATACAGATTTTTAAATACAGATAAACTTTTACATATTTAAATAAATATAAAAAAACTAAGTGATTTATTGATTTCCAAACCTTATTTTTTGTATTTTCTCTTATTTTTATCGTTCAATATAAAGGTTGCCTGGATAAGAAATCGTGATTTACACATATTGACAGTTGGCACATATACTTATACAACAGATCAACGTTTTCAAACCTCATATCATCGTGATATCGATGAATGGACATTGCAAATAAAATGGGCACAACAACGTGATGCCGGTGTCTATGAGTGCCAAATATCGACCCAACCAGTAAGAAGTTTTTCCGTTAACCTAAATATTGTGGGTAAGTAGAAAATTTGGAAATGAAAAAGCAGCATTATATTAAAATATATACATATATGTATATAAAACTTAAGAATACAAATTATGTACACATATAGAGATGTTACAAACAAAAACACAAATACCTAGTAGTTTTATAAGTTTTAGTGTATGAGGTTCTAAGACATATACTATATCTCGTATTACTTTCTATTAACATTATTTGCTGCTTTAAGAGTTAATTTCTTGCAAAAGGCAACGATGCAAGGAAAGGAAACGTTGCGTACAGCAACGTTTCTAATCCGAATAAAAAAGTAATTAACGAACAGTCTAAATTTCGTGCGTGACAATAACATATATTAGAGTTTGTGCCTTTGCAACATTTATCTTCAGATCAGCCGATTCCGCTACTTTCGCTACGATACATAGATTTGTTGTACGAAGCTGTGAGGAAAGAGTCAGATGTCATCTGAGTAATCAAGATTGTTGACCCTCCCGCTGTACTGTCTCCATACTATCAACATGTCGTTCTTTAGTTCGTTTGCAAATATCGAGTCCAGAAGTATACGATATATGTAGATGTAGTGACTGAACATAAATTTGTGGGCCCCATCTAATCTGCTATCTGACTGATCACTTGTTTTGTTTATGAATGAGTTTGAGTGAAATTTTCCTGCATGTCAATGCATTCCAGATCTCACAGATTTCTTCAGTTTTCGTTTAAAATGTTAATTTGCATTATGTAAGAATATGTTCACAATAGAAGAATTTCAAAGTGGGATTTTATAAACATATATTCCATTTTTTTCAAATTCAAAGATCAAAAGCAATTCATAAGACTTCGCAACGTCTAATGACTAATAGATGTTGATCACTTGACATGACTGTTTCCCTACAGCTGCAAATATCCAAAGGGGATCCATGCCTTTAACTGACTTGAAATTGATATTATATGATGCAATTTGATCGTTAAATACATAAGTATGTCACTGCGGTTGGTTCCATTATTTGTCTTATGGAAAGTATATGTCCTTGTTTTCAGGGTCAGAAACTTCTGTTGTTTGCAAGACTCAAATCAATCTAAATACAAAACAAGTAAGAAATTATAGTCGGGCGAGGCCGACCATATAATACCCTACACCTTTGACAAAAATATAATGTGATTTAGTTGCCATAATAAAGCATTTAAGTTGAATTGCACCTTGCCTTAGATATACATACTTAAGCCGTTTATTGTTGAATAAAGTTGTGGACATTTAAGTGAAATTTTGATGGGGGCTTTTCATAGGGGCTAGGGTCATATGAGAACCTATTATTATGGAATTCGGGGGGGTCATCAAGTCTTGTATACAACTTGGTTATTGCAGCTTTTTGTCGAGATATGAGTATATTAAACATAATTATGAACTTAAAAGCCCTATTCGGCGGGTTCAGTTGTATGGGGACTAGGTGAAATAATGGACCGATGGTAACCATTTTCAATGAGCTTCGCCTACGGTACCATAAAAGATCATGTGCCAAATTTCATTGAATTATCTCCAAAATTACGACCTGTAGTTTGATTACAAGTTTTAAAAGCCCTATTCGAGGGGTTCTAGGTGGGGGTTAGGTGAAATAATGGACCGATGTTAACCATTTTCTATAGGCTTTGTCCCTGGGACAATAGAAGATCATGTACCAAATTTCATTGAATTATCTTCAAAATTGCGAACTGTAGTTTGATTACAAGGATTACAAGCCCTATTTGGGGGTTTAGTTGTATGGGGGCTAGGTGAAATAATGGACCGATCTTAACCATTTTCAATAGGCTTCGTCCCTTCATGCACCAAATTTCATTGAATTATCTTCAAAATTGCGACCTGTAGTTTGATTAACGGACGGACTGACGGACGGACGGACGGACAGACGGACGGACATAGCTAAATCGACTCAGAAAATGATTCTGAGCCGATTGGTATACTTTAAGGATGGTATAGGACCAATATTATTGTACGTTACAAACATCAGCACAAACCCAATATACCCTCCCCACTAAAGTGGTGTAGGGTATAATGATGAATCCATCAGATATCACAAGTTTTCCCTTACCTAGAAGTCGAGAATCGCAAATTCCAGGCTAAACATTTTCAGCACTGAATTGTCCACAGAGTAGAGCCATGATCTAAATAGTATACTTATAAAAGGACTATGTAAATATACAATTTAACACACTCTCATGCCAGAAAGCATAAAAACAAATGTTTATGTTTGTTACAGAAACTGAACAAAAACAAAACTTAATTTAAAAGCCTGAAAACTTTACAAAAAAAAAAAAAAAAAAAAATACCGCAAGCAATAACGTAGAGAAACGAATTTAAAAATAGTCAAACATTTTTTCGTCGAATATATAATTTTTTAGTTGAAAACAAAAAAACGTAATAAGAATTAATGATTTAATATACACAAGTTTATAGTTACTTATAAATGTGTGTGTGTGTGAATGAAATAAGCAAAATATGGAAAAAACACAGTGTTCATAAGTAGGTTACATGTAGCATGTTGCAACAAGCATAAAGCCTCATTAAGGATGCGTATAAAATAAGAAAAAAATATGTAAAAAAAATAATTACAGTCACTGAGGCGTATGAGTAACTTTTTTTTTTTGTTTTAAGGTTAATGACGTTTCCGTCATAAAAATTATGTAAATTTAATGAATGCACTTCTTTTTTTAAACTTTGACTGAGAGAAAAACAAAAAATAAACGAACAAAAACTTGTATAAGAGATTGTGTTTAAATGAAAGCAAAAACTAACATTATCGTTGACGCCATCATACTCATAATAATCACCACCAACAGTGGCAGCAACAACAGAAATGGCAACATCATCGTCATCAACGACTTTACTGCCGTCAGCAACCAGTAGTTTTAATTGAAACAGTAGCAGAGCTCAAAGATACAGCTACAACACTGAAACTGTAAATGCCACATTGTATCTGTGCGTACTGATTATGAGTGGCAAATTTTTCAGTTAAAAGCATTTCTTTTCACTCATTTATCGTTGTCGTTGTTGTTGCTGCTACTGCTGTATAGTTTTGTACTTTTTCTTCTACTGCATTACTTTTTTTCATATAAATGTTAAATATTTTCTTAATATACCCGAGAGTATAACTTACTTATATTAGAGATGTACAAACTTAGTAAGGGGGATATAAGTGATTATAGTGACCATAATGAAACCTTTTTATATTCTTCCTACTAATTTGGCCTTAACATATTTATCTACAGCACGAAGGCAATAACAGGTGATAAAGTTAAATTTAAGACCTTGTTATATTTTAAGAAAGCCCTAATCGAATAGTCTCCTAGAGGTCAGGTTTATATCATATCAATTAAATACATACAAAATTTTGTTTACTTTTATAGAAAATTAAAATTGATTTAAACATTTCTTAATGTTTCAGTTTTTTACGTTCAATAACACGTGAATAAATTTGCATTCAGGAAAAAGCTTGTATTTTTAGTTTCATTCGTTTAGCTTCCACATTATAGAATATTTCGATATTACAATTTGACAAAAAGTACTATAAAATACCTTTTTTTTTTAATTAAACATTTTATGTTTCTGTGCTCAATATTATAGACAATTCAAAAAATATATGTGCTGTTTCTAGATAGCATGCGAGCACTTTGAGTTAAAATTTTATTTGTATTTTGTTATTGTTACAAAAACAAAATACATTTAAAATTTTTACTCAAAGTACTCACACGTTATCTGGAAACTACACAATAATTTGATTAATGAAAAAGTACCAAAAGTCCCTTTCAGTAGATTATCATTCACTAAGGTCCCTATATTTTAAATTTTATATTTCTATGTTCAATATCGTAAAAATATCAAAAAGTACCATCGGAAAAACGAAAAAGTACAAAAATCTCTCTCAATAAATTATCATTTAATAAGTATGTGTTCCGGTTAACCATTATAGAGAAACCAAAAGGTACCATTTAAAGAATGGAAAAGTACCAAAGAGTACCCACTTACAGAATATTATTCAGTCAAGACTATGTATGTTAAAATTTATGTTCCTAGGTTGAATATTTTAGAAAATTCAAAAAGTACCATTTACGAGATAAAAAGTACTAAAAAGTTTTCTCTTAAAGAATCTTATTCAATGAGGACCATGTATGTTTAATAATCATGTGTTTTGAATTCATATTATAAAACATACAGAGTATCATTTGAAAAAAGAAAAAGTATCAAACGTGTAAAAAATTCTACCTTAGTGAAAAGTACTAATAAAAATAGTACAATTTTTCCCTTTTTCGCTTAGAAATATACTTTTTTGAGAATTAAGTTTCCAAAATGTTCCGTATTTAAATCTATATATCACAGATAAAACTCAAACGATTCAAATCTGCTTTCATTTGTTCCAGAAAAATTGTGCTTTCAAAAAGGTACCAAACAATTTACTTGAATTTGGTCCTATATAGGCCTTAGTACTCGAATTCCAAAATAATATACCAATAGCTTATTTTGTGTGAGCAAATAAACTACTTTTTCAAATTTTATAAAAATTGGCTCAATGAGTTTGAATAAAAGTAAATTTCCCGTTTTTCTCCTTTTTGGTACTTTTTTTCCCAATGAAATAGCAAATATTTTGTTTCAATAAATATTACGGTGTTAGTCCGTAATTTAATAGGAATACTTCAATAAATTGAAAAAGTTTTCTTAATGTGCTAAAAAAGTACCAAAAATACAGTTTTTTCATGAATTTTAAAAAAGTACGAAACAGGTATCTCCTAATTTTGGGAGATATATTCAAAATATTTACAAAAATTTTATTTTGTTTATTAGTAAAAAAGTTATAAAGGCCCAAAAAAGGTACCAAAATCACCTATGTTACACATTTTCACCCCTTAAAAGTACGAATTTCAAAAAAGTACCAGACACCCATCTGGTTATTTTAAGAGTAGATACAGATGCATTTAAAATTTTTCTTGTACTACTAATATTAGGTAAGATAATTAAGAAAACCTGGTTTTACCCGTTTTTCCCTTTTTTACCTCTAAATGTACAAATCTCCAAAAATCCCTCCTTAGTGGATCTACATATATAACCAAAAACACATCTACTGTTCAAATTTCAAGATTCTAGGTTCAGCCGCTTGGACTGTGCGATGATGAATCAATCAGTCAGTAACGCTACTCTTTTATATGTATATATAGATGGGTACCAGGCTACTTGGGAATAATGGGAAACGAAAGAGCAAATGTAATAGCTTTAAACGAGGACAGAATTAAGAATATGGATGAGAGAATCCCATAAGGCCTTTTGGAATACCTAAACGGTGGATAGATCCATAAAAATCTTGCAGGGTGACAAGAACAGGACGAGAAGCCTCCTCAAAATGAAAAGGTCTGAGGTTAGTATGATGATACGTATTACGGGTACAGACGAATGCAGAGCATGTGAAGAGGAAATTGGAAGAGATATTATTCCAGATATAACAAATTTTACGAATACTGATTGGAAAATTCTTAGGATTTACGTCCAGTAGTCTGAGTATCTGAGCATGTTTTTACCAACAAACATTTTCCATGGAAATGAATACACAACAGGCTAGATAGTGGCCTAGATGTCTTTCTTCAGATTTCATGTAGATACATCCTCCTATCAACCTAACCTAACCTACTTAGATCTATTCTTCAGAATTCAACTAAAAACTACAAGCTTTTGCTAAAATCCCATTGCTCAAACATGCTGGCACAGCTCTGTTGTCAAAACATGGCAGGCCATACTAATATCATTTTTAGCTACAGACGACAAGAAAAGCTTTAATGAACAGTAATGAAAATGACGTCAGAACAACAGAACAGAAAATGATACTAAGAGAATAAATTAAAACTCCCCCCGGTATGACACACATTCTCATTGGCTCGAACGTAGTAGTATGTAATTTATGCATAAGTTTCAACAAGCATTTGACTTTTTGTTATCATTATCTCAAGATCGCCGCATTCTTCATTGCCACCATAAACATTTATGTATGTATGTGGTATGTGTATGTTTGTAAGTGTTTACCGGATGTTAAAATTACAAATACAACTTAGTGGTAATATGTATGATTTTGTATATAAGAATATAAATGTTTAAGTTGCAAGTAGTTAAAGTTGTAGTATTTTGTAATATATACCCCACAGCTTAAGGTTCTTTAAGAATGTATTCAATGATAATTTTATGTTAAAAAGATATATTTATTTCATTATTATACAACAATTGGTAATAAAAAGAAGCTATTGATAAGGACAATATTAATATTTTAAAGAAAGCATTGATTTTATTTTTAATTAGGTCAAGCTTTAACTACAAACGATTATTATTAATTGTATACTTTTATTTTGGTTTTCTCTTATGTATTGAAATATTTTAATTTATTCCTTGTATTCATTTTTTCACATTATGTTTTAATTACATTTTTGGTTTGTTTTATATTTTTTTTATTTTACTTTAGATACGCATGATTCTGAGCAATATGATACATTGCAACAGTTTTACAATGATGAGTCTTTTGTTATTTCGAATGATCGCATTTATCAATCGGCTGATGATGAATTCGCTGGAATGTTTGGTCCCATACAACCTGTTGCTGGTTTGTTATTATTTTGTTTCTTTTTTAAATTTTACGTTTTTTTATTTGTCTACTAACAATTATTTTGTGGAATTTTTAATATTATTTTTTTATTAATTGAGCTAAACTGAGAAATTTTGCAATGGTACGTAACCTTTCCGAAAATATCAAACCTTTGAAGAAGGAAAAAGTAATAAAAAGTCCCTTTTTATAGGTTCTCACTTAATCCGGGCCTGACATGAACTTTGCTATTTATGAACCTATTTGAAGTCTTCAGGAAATTTATTTCAACAAACATACAGACAGACGGACATAGATAAACGACTCCGCTATCTATAAGGAATATACATACATATACTTACAAACGGAATGACAAACTTATATATGCCATTCTCACGTACCCCGGGGGCATATAACCTTAAGGAATGACCCCATCTTTCTTGCAAAAGAAGTGCAACCAGTACCCCTAGTCTGCCGGGTGATGATGTGATTTCACTCCTCGGCTAGTCCTTGGAATGATTTCCATGTGAAATTTACCCAGTGAACCACATAATCTGGTACTACGGGTGGCCAGTTTACCAGCAGGACTAGTCCTAGCTGGTCAGTTGGATGAGGTTCCTTCGGGATCAATGCAGTGGCTGTGATTAAACCCAAATTCGCGGGAAGATTAAGTTGCGGCTAAAAGACTGATTCATGGTGAAATCTATATTTCGGAATAAGTTCAATCCTGTTGCCGAATGACAACAGATATTTCGCAAAGGAGTGATTGTGGGTCGGGTGAAATCGATGAAATCTATATTTCGGTATAAGTTCAATCCTGTTGGCGAATGACATTAGATACCTCACAAAAGAGTGACTGTAAGTCTAAGCATTGGAAATGAGTTGGTGGTAATTGTGTATGATACATGATGAATTTATGGGTATACGGAACTCATCCGCTCGTATACCTATGTTGTTCTTTATGGGCGTGTCGGATAAATGAGAAATGTGCTGGGTTGAATGGTAATGTATGAAAGGCATCTTATACAAGTGATACCATTGAATCTTCCTTCCTTGTCTAGGTATGTTCAGGAAAAACTCTGTTTATACCAGTGTGTTGAGTAAGAACAAAATCGTCCACTTATTTGATGGATTAGTGTTTCGGTCTACCGAAACACGTCTATAGGTACTGTTGTCAACTCTTCAGAGGCCATCCCATCTGCATGGTTGTAAACGGAAGTGATGTTTTTGCATCTCGGAAGTTAAACAATAGGGTAGCAATGGACAGAGATTAGATAGCTCGAGTACTTGACCAAAATGCTTGTACATGAACCGGCAGAACCATGTAAAGATAAACAAATGGGCGGTGGTGAGACGTCATAAAAGCTCTCCCAGTGGATGAAAAAGACCACCGTCCAACACGACAGGTGCTCACGTAAAGCACTTCGACATAGTTATGAACTAAAAAGCCCCAACCGGAAGATACGGTTGTATGGGGGCTAAGTGAAATAATGTACCCATTTCAATCTTTTACAATAGATTTCGTCCTCTGGCCAAGAAACTTGTATGATTAAAATTTTATTAAAATATTTTGAAAATTACTGCGTATAAGACAGCCACCAAGCCGGAGAGACAGACAAATGGACTGACGGACGGTTGGATGGACATATCTTTATCGACATTTTTTGGTTGACCCTTTTAGATGTTTTTAATGTTTTATTCCTTGGTCGTAATATATTGCTATCACCAAGTATAATTTTACAATCATATATCTATTTTCCTTACCTCATTAATTCTAGCCCCATCTTTTATAAATAGATGCATATGATTATAAATTACATATTCCAAGCAACGAGATATAAAAATTAGACATTACCAATATAAAAACAATATGAAAACTATAGCAACTGACAACTTATTTATGATTATGTCTATATAAAATATATATTAAAGAGAGAAAAATCAAACGAGGACAAAATACTACTATAACTCTAACCAATATATTGAAGTGCACTAGGATTTTTATTTTATTTTTGCTTCATTTTACGTAACAAATGTCTAGCATATGAAAAATGTGTCTGAAGTTTAAAACAATATTTTATACATCCGGAACTCATATATTTTGTTATACTCTAGTTTTTATTTCAATACTTTTTTCTAAATCTCTTTGCATGCCATACAAAAAAATTCTGTGCAATCTATATAACAGAGTGTGTTTGTGTGCGCGATTTTAGGAAAAACAAATATTTAACTCTTCATAACATTAATGTGAATTCTATTGAATATTCTAAAGTATGACACAAAAACCAAAACAGAAAAATAGGAGAACTGAATAATACATTTATATGCAAATTCGTAGTGAATGTGTCTGCTGTAAAAAAACTATAGAAAAGTAACCTGAAATCTACATGAAAAGGGAATCACATACCAGCTTAACATGCCCCCATAACATCATAAGCAGATTTTCACAGTGGTAGCTATTCAAAGTTAAATAAAAAAGTCTTAACTAATTGCTTAAATGTATAATTAAAATTAAGAATATTCAGAAAATTTTCCAATTTCAAATATTAGAGACAATTTAAGACAATTCTGCAAAACTAAAAGAAATATATTTAAATATTTATTTCAATACCACTGTGCAACATTCGGTTTATACCAACTCATTCACAAATACTTTGATATCTACAAATAGGTGTATCTATGTGGTTTAGATCTGTGTGTATATAAATAAAAATAAGTTTTTGTTGTTGTTGATATAACCATTATTTAAATATGCCCGATAATGTGTTTTTAATGACTTATTTTCTAGCATTTTTTTATATTTGGCGCCTATGGTTGCTATTTTTTTTTTTTACAAATATATGTTTTTTGGTGTATGTGTGTCTAGTGCAAAAAAAAGGAATTAATTACGAAATTAGTTTTTTAGTTTGTGCAAAACACAAAAAAATACACAAAAATTTCAATATAACGGTTGTTGTAGTAACGCCAGTATAAAATTATGTTTTTCCCCCGTTACTCTCTCATCATAACCACCAGCTATATTTGATAATTTCGTACAAGGTTTAATAATGTTTTTAAGCTAAATGGCATTTATTTTTTTTTTTTTTACTTAATTTCATAATTAACAGAAATTGTGTTGGAAACCATTAAAGTGTAACATTTATTGCTCTAACCGCAGCTTTTGTGGTTTTTTGTTCGAAAGATTAGTAAAAATTATACCTCTCTTCCTAGGTGTTGTCGGTATGTGTGACTTAAATGTTTACGATTATGAATAAAAATTGTTTAATGATAGCATACATATGTATTTATATTAAGTAAATTATATAATTGGATTTATGTCAGGTACAGGTTCCGGCTTGTCTAATATTTTCACTTTGGACTATTTACTAGCCAATAGCCTAGTCTATAGTCTAGTCCTATAGTCTAGTCTATAGTCTAGTCTATAGTCTAGTCTATAGGCTAGTCTATAGTCTAGTCTATAGTCCTAGTCTATAGTCTAGTCTATAGTCAGTCTATAGTCTAGTCTATAGTCTAGTCTATAGTCTAGTCTATAGTCTAGTCTATAGTCTAGTCTATAGTCTATCTATAGCTGTCTAATAGTCTAGTCTATAGTCTAGTCTATAGTCTAGTCTATAGTCTAGTCTATAGTCTAGTCTATAGTCTAGTCTATAGTCTATCTATAGGTCTAGTCTATAGTCTAGTCTATAGTCTAGTCTATAGTCTAGTCTATAGCTAGTCTATAGTCTAGTCTAGTCTAGTCTATAGTCTAGTCTATAGTCTAGTCTATAGTCTAGTCTATAGTCTAGCTATAGTCTAGTCTATAGTCTAGTCTATAGTCTAGTCTATAGTCTAGTCTATAGTCTAGTCTATAGTCTAGTCTATAGTCTAGTCTATAGTCTAGTCTATAGTCTAGTCTATAGTCTAGTCTATAGTCTAGTCTATAGTCTAGTCTATAGTCTAGTCTATAGTCTAGTCTATAGTCTAGTCTATAGTCTAGTCTATAGTCTAGTCTATAGTCTAGTCTATAGTCTAGTCTATAGTCTAGTCTATAGTCTAGTCTATAGTCTAGTCTATAGTCTAGTCTATAGTCTAGTCTATAGTTAGTCTATAGTCTAGTCTATAGTCTAGTCTATAGTCTAGTCTATAGTCTAGTCTATAGTCTAGTCTATAGTCTAGTCTATAGTCTAGTCTATAGTCTAGTCTATAGTCTAGTCTATAGTCTAGTCTATAGTCTAGTCTATAGTCTAGTCTATAGTCTAGTCTATAGTCTAGTCTATAGTCTAGTCTATAGTCTAGTCTATAGTCTAGTCTATAGTCTAGTCTATAGTCTAGTCTATAGTCTAGTCTATAGTCTAGTCTATAGTCTAGTCTATAGTCTAGTCTATAGTCTAGTCTATAGTCTAGTCTATAGTCTAGTCTATAGTCTAGTCTATAGTCTAGTCTATAGTCTAGTCTATAGTCTAGTCTATAGTCTAGTCTATAGTCTAGTCTATAGTCTAGTCTATAGTCTAGTCTATAGTCTAGTCTATAGTCTAGTCTATAGTCTAGTCTATAGTCTAGTCTATAGTCTAGTCTATAGTCTAGTCTATAGTCTAGTCTATAGTCTAGTCTATAGTCTAGTCTATAGTCTAGTCTATAGTCTAGTCTATAGTCTAGTCTATAGTCTAGTCTATAGTCTAGTCTATAGTCTAGTCTATAGTCTAGTCTATAGTCTAGTCTAATAGTCTAGTCTATAGTCTAGTCTATAGTCTAGTCTATAGTCTAGTCTATAGTCTAGTCTATAGTCTAGTCTATATCTAGTCTATAGTCTAGTCTATATCTAGTCATAGTCTAGTCTATAGTCTAGTCTATAGTCTAGTCTATAGTCTAGTCTATAGTCTAGTCTATAGTCTAGTCTTAGTCTAGTCTATAGTCTAGTCTATAGTCTAGTCTATAGTCTAGTCTATGTCTAGTCTATAGTCTAGTCTATAGTCTAGTCTATAGTCTAGTCTATAGTCTAGTCTATAGTCTAGTCTATAGTCTAGTCTATAGTCTAGTCTATAGTCTAGTCTATAGTCTAGTCTATAGTCTAGTCTATAGTCTAGTCTATATCTAGTCTATAGTCTAGTCTATAGTCTAGTCTATAGTCTAGTCTATAGTCTAGTCTATAGTCTAGTCTATAGTCTAGTCTATAGTCTAGTCTATAGTCTAGTCTATAGTCTAGTCTATAGTCTAGTCTATAGTCTAGTCTATAGTCTAGTCTATAGTCTAGTCTATAGTCTAGTCTAGTCTATAGTCTAGTCTTATCGTCTAGTCTATAGTCTAGTCTAGAGTCTAGTCTATAGTCTAGTCTATAGTCTAGTCTATAGTCTAGTCTATAGTCTAGTCTATAGTCTAGTCTATAGTCTAGTCTATAGTCTAGTCTATAGTCTAGTCTATCGCTAGTCTATATTCTAGTCTTGTCTTAGCCTAGTATTTAGTCTATAGTCTAATCTATGGTATAGTGCGTGCTCTACTGTATTCTGAAGTACATTCCAGACTTATAGTCTACGTAATAATGCATATTTTAGTCGATATTTTAGCCATTGTGTAGTATATAGTATAGGCTTTAAATAGTCTATATAAATGGTTTATGGCTAATGTAAACTAAAGCAATTAAACTAAATCAAGACAACTTTATTACATAAAATTTACATAAATACGTTTTTATATGCATTTTACAAATTAAAAATCAAACAAATGTATGTATGTGTTCTGCGTGACGAATACTTATTACAAAAAAATCAGTTAATTAAGCATACGCCACGGTATACCTACATACATTAGTATGTAAATAAAGAAAAATTCATATAAATGAAATAAATGTGTGTATACAAAGTACATGCGAATGTATGTAAATATGTAGTTATGTATTTATATGTATACACATGTATTTTATGTTTCTAAATATGTGCACATTAAAAACTTATGTTTCACATAATTATAGCATGTGTTAATTTGAGATAATAACGTAAATTAAAAACTCCTGCTGTATGAAAATATATAGCAATACATTGGCAAAATATAACAAGTTCTTAAAGGTTCTTACTTAAATGTACTTTATGTAGTAAAGCGACTAAATACTTATATATGCTTACAAATATTACCTGAACTAATAAATTGTAAGTTATTAAATACTGAAAGTGGTTACATGTGTAGAAAATTATATGAATGTTAATTAATATCATTTAAAACAGTGAGTGATAAAATAGAGGAAATTTGTGAAACTAGATAAATGCTGAAACGAAACATTCTCTAAAAAGTAGAGTAAAGCATATGCGACATACATGTTTGATTAGCTTTGATACTAATTATTAAAATACTATAGATTTTTAATTATTTACAAGATATTTTCCCACTGTTTAATTAAGTATGTTAATAAATATTTGAAATTAACTTTATAATTCAAATTTAAGATATGTTTAACAGTTTACAACTACAACATACAAAATTTATTTTCACACATACAAATACATAAATGAATAACCTACTACCTACACACTCACATTAACTTTCTAATAAACATCATTTACTAATAAATTCTTTTTTCATTCTACTAATAAATTCCAAAATTGTTTTTGTTTTGTTGTTATAATCATGTATTGTTCAAGTATTTTCAGTTGATTGTAATATGGTGTTATTTCTTTTGTAGTGCCAACAGCAACCATACTGGGCGGTCCCGATTTGTATGTTGATAAAGGAAGTACAATTAATCTAACATGCGTAATAAAATTTAGTACCGAACCACCAACTCATATATTTTGGTATCATCAAGATAAGGTAAGTAGAAGTTGAACTAACTACAACAATAAACAAATCCTTTAGATATTTTATGTTTGTGTGTATTATGTACAAATATTTAGTATAATGTTTTATACACACTTATTTATAATAGAACAATAAAATAGAAAGGCAAGCAAAAAAATATAATTAAGGCAAAATAGGGGGAAGCTTTAAAACCGAACATAAGGTACACTACATGGATATTAACAATAACACTAAATGTGCATTGGTACGTATTGGTATGTATGTATGTAGGTGAAATGTATTTAAGGAAAACGGAAATATGACTCCGTTATTAGGTATTAGGGAAAAGAGTTAAATTAATAAAGTTTTACTAAAACATCTAGAAAAGTGTGTTATATATTTGCTGTTTGTATCAACTTAAAATTTCACATTATAATATCATACGCATGATTACATGTTGACAACTCGTTACTAGTAGTTTTCTTTAACATTTGATTAACATTTTTTAATCAATTTGTTTGGAAATTTATTTGTTTATTTTAAAATTACACGACAAACTTTTAACCCAGAGACCAACGTATACTTTTCGAAAGTATTGAGCTACGCTTAGTCCGAATAAGGCTTCATGATTTCTCCATCACATCTGCCCTGTTTGATACATTATAGTTAGTTAGTTAGTTTAAAAGGAGGATGTATATACATCAAATCCGAAGAAATACACCTAGGCCTCTATCGGGCCTGTTGTGCGCTCCTTAAGCCGTGCCTCAGGTGGGAATCGAACCCACCACCTCCGGTCTACAAGACTAGAACACTAACCACTAACCTGCAGGAGGTCACGTTATAACAGTGTCATTTTTTGCAGTGTCAAGACAACATTTTTTAAAAAAGCTTTAATCTGACATATCTTATTTCTTTTTTGAGATATGACGGACGGACAGACATAGTTAAATCGTATCAGAAAGTGATTATCAATCAATTGGAATATCATCATAGTACATCCAATATTTGTTCTCTCTTTTATAATTAAAGAGTCGCTATGACAGCCTCCATATAGTGTGGCAACACAGAAAAATCATATCAGGAGAAAACTCTAAATTTTCACAAAAGCTTCCTTTATGTTATGAACTCTCTGAAAGATACATTGACAAACAATCTCTTCCGTTTTGTTAAAATGCTTTCGTATAAAGAACCGAAATTGAATACTCTTTCTTTTGGTCTCCTGATAACGCTAATGGGGGATTCCATGTCAAGTAACCCAACTGGTGACAGAAAGAGTTAAATACTTAGGTGTAATACTTGACCGGAAATTAAGATGGAGGCACCGCATAGAGGAAAGGATTAACTGGGCACATCGGTGCTGGGCGCTATGCAGAAGAACCATAGGCATGAAATGGGGCCTTAGTCCTACTGTGACACATTGGCTCTATAAAAGTGTAATTAAACCAATCCAAAGTTATGCTTCAATAATCTGGTGGATTTCTCTGGAAAAAAGTGTAATATCGAACTACTACAGGTATTTCAGTGTACATACTGCTTGGGTATAAGTGGAGCCATGAGCACTAAGTCAACCAAGGCTCTTCCAACAATGCTAGATATTCCACCCATTGAAACATATATAAGATATGAGGCGGCATTTACAGCCGAACGGCTCATAACTTTAGGTGAACTGGCCAAAAGCGGTTATAGGACACGTCATCAATGTTTACTGGATACATTGGAGGGCTATACACAATCATTGGACGTGCCCGATTGCAATAACGGAATGCGTAAATTTGATTAGAATAAATATGACGGCCATAGGGCTTAACATATTTACCGACAGCCAGAAGGCAAGTAGGACGATATCAGGCCACACAACAGGCCCGATAGTAGCCTAGGTGTATTTCTTCGGATTTGATGTAGATACATTCTCCTATCAACCTAACCTAACCCAACTGTGTTACAGTGGGTCAAATTTTGACTTTTTTGCAAAAGACGATCTATGTAACTTATTTCCTATTTCCTATGTGTGGGTCTAAACTACTACCCAATAGGACTAACATTGGTGCAAATTTCATTACGATCGGGAGAAATCTAGTTACGAGCAGAAAGGTTTTAAGACATCACTATCTACCGGTATGTTTGTGGAAATCAATTTAGAAAAAAAATTATGAAAAATTGTTTTATAAACCTGTGATAAAAAGAGCTTTAAAAATTTAAAAAAAAAATTGAATTCTATATAATTTCACAATTTATATTATGTTATACCCCATTTACACATACACGAAATCTAGTACTTATGAGATTTCGAGCCAAATCTAGTTGTTTTTAATTAGATTTCCCATACAAAACAAAATCTACTTCGTGACTAGATTTCGTTAAAATTTACTCGAAATCTAATAGTTTTTAGTGATGCAACTCTGTTTTTTTCTAAATAATACTACAAAATACGACGCTTACAAGAAAAACGAGAAAAACAAAACAAACAAAAAAAATTAAATGTAAACAAAATTTTAGTAAATTGAAAAACATGAATGAAAAGTTTATTTAAAATAGAAGGTAATGTTATTTTTCAATATCTAATTTTTTATTATAAATAAAATGTTAATAAATATCCCAATTTTTCTTATTATTTTCCATATCAGACACAATTTCAAAAAATATTAGAAAAAATGAAATCTTCCTAAATGCCAAAAATGGTAAGTGTAAACGGTCTAAATTTTTAAAAAGATTTTAAATGAAATCTACTAGATTTCGTGTATGTGTAAATGGGGTATTAATGTTATTTAAATCTGATTACTTCCTGCTAAATAAAATAATAAGTCGATATTGTCCAAATCTCCTACAATTTTATGACAAAACTGATAACATGTAGTAAAATACCTCAACGGGATTGACTTGAAATAAAAATACTTTTAAGTAACAAATTTACATTTGCCTTAGATTAAATGACCTATTCAAAATCAACCCTTCCTTCCTAAAACTAAAACAAAACACTAACAACTCAAGTGAAATAAATAGCACAATTAAATTAATAGCTGATTTTATCACAACTTTGCATAAACCAGATACTACAAGTAATGTGGCAACGTAAAATCCTTACGTCAGCAAGTCGATGAATGCTTCAGCTATAATTAGTGTTGTATTTAAATTACCCATTAAATATTGCCACAATAAATAGCAATAACCTCTCTTAAATAGTGGTAAAATGGTAAAAATGTGTTGTATTAAAACAGTATAAACATTTATAGAAGTGTCTTAGCGCTCGTGTCAAACACTACAATGGCAACAATGAAAAGTGTCCATTTATAATGCACGTGCCATAAAAGAACGACTTTCAGATTGAATGAAAATAAATTAATCAGTTGTTTTGTGATTTGTTTGATTAAATTTTGTGACACATTAACAATGTGTTTGTTTGAAATGCAAACAAAAGCGTAAAATTTTGTATCGCCATAAACATCAGCTTTACACGCTTTTACACTCAACAATGTTATCTTAATGTTTTTAGGTTAATTCATATTATATCTTAAGAAAACAATAGTTTAACTTAGACATAAAATATAAAATGTTATAAATTATTCAACATATTGTATTTATTTACTACATTTACTTGGATTTATGGTGTTTTATATTAGTTTTACTAGGAATCTAATAATAGTGCGAAATATAATTCATTCTTTCAACATAGTTTTATATTTAAATGTGTGTAAATAAAGTTTGCTGATTTATTCATATACATTTGTGTATGTATAGGTATGTTTATAGTAGACATTATGTCTGTGTATATATTTACAGGCAATACATTTTAGTTTGTATGTAACTTCCTTTAAACACTTAAATAATTTGTATTTTGATTGTTTGGAATCCACCCTGTTTTATATTATAAATGAACTAAGACAGTGGGTTACTAATAAAACTATAGATCTATGCTGATGTTTGTAACTCATAGAAATAGTTATCATACATGCAATTTTCAAAAGTTAGTACAATTTTCCACTAAGTTAACTGAAAATCTGGCTTTAATTCTTGAACTGTTTTCTGCGGCGAGTAGAGGTCGAAAATTGTTGTTTTTAAAATTGTGAAAGCATTAGTTAAATTATCGTACAATGAGAAACCCATAAGAAGAGAAAAAAAATTAAATTTTGCCTTTCTGATTTGGAATGTCTTATAAAAGTGAACATTTTTTTAAATATCATGACAAAGCCCAAATGATTTAAAAAATTAAAAAAATTTGCAAAAATGCAGATGCTTGTAACTCATAGAAATAGTTATCACACATGTAATTTTCAAAAGTTAGTACAATTTTCTAATAAGTTAACTGAAAATCTGGCTTTAATTCTTGAACTGCTTTCTGCGACGAATAGATGCCAAATTTGTAGTTTTCAAAATTGTGAAAGCATTAGTTAAATTATCGTACAATGAGAGACCCATAAGAGAAAAAAAAATAGTTTTTGCCTTTCTGATTTGGAAAGTCTTATAAAAAATGCAAAAAAATATTTAAAAAACTTGACTCAGACCAATTAATTTAAAAAAATCAAAATTTTGTTATTTTTGGAGACTTTATACATAAACTATAGATGGGATCGCCCCTGTTGTTGAGTTGGGATCGCCCTTGTTGTTGAGTTAGTCAGTTTAGTTAGTTAGTTGTTAGTTAGTTAGTTAGTTAGTTAGTTAGTTAGTTAGTTAGTTAGTTGTTAGTTAGTTAGTTAGTTAGTTAGTTAGTTAGTTAGTTAGTTGTTAGTTAGTTAGTTAGTTAGTTAGTTGTTAGTTATTTAGTTAGTTAGTTAGTTAGTTAGTTAGTTAGTTAGTTAGTTAGTTCGTTAGTTCGTTCGTTCGTTTCGTTCGTTCGTTCGTTCGTTCGTTCGTTCGTTCTTTCGTTCGTTCGTTTCGTTCGTTCGTTCGTTCGTTCGTTCGTTCGTTCGTTCTTTTTCGTTCGTTCGTTCGTTCGTTCGTTTCGTTCGTTTGTTTCGTTCGTTCGTTCGTTCGTTCGTTCAGTTCGTTCGTTCGTTCGTTTCGTTCGTTCGTTCGTTCGTTCGTTCGTTCGTTCGTTCGTTCGTTCGTTCGTTCGTTCGTTCGTTCGTTCGTTCGTTCGTTCGTTCGTTCGTTCTTCGTTCGTCGTTCGTTCGTTCGTTCGTTTCGTTCGTTCGTTCGTTCGTTCGTTCGTTCGTTCTTTTCGTTCGTTCGTTCGTTTCGTTCGTTCGTTCGTTCGTTCGTTCGTTCTTCGTTCGTTCGTTCGTTCTTCTTTCGTTTCGTTCGTTCGTTCGTTCGTTCGTTCGTTCGTTCGTTTTCGTTCGTTCGTCGTTCGTTCGTTCGTTCGTTTCGTTCGTTAGTTCTTCGTTCGTTTCGTTCGTTCGTTCGTTCGTTCGTTCGTTCGTTCGTTCTTTCGTTCGTTCGTTCGTTCGTTCGTTCGTTCGTTCGTTCGTTCGTTCTTCGTTCGTTCGTTCGTTTTCGTTCGTTCGTTCGTTCGTTCGTTCGTTCGTTCGTTCGTTCGTTCGTTTCGTTCGTTCGTTCGTTCGTTCTGATTCGTTCGTTGTTCGTCAGTTCGTTCTTTCGTTCAGATTCGTTCTTAGTTCGTCGTTTAAGTTCGTTCGTTCGTTCGTTCGTTCGTTCTTCGTTCGTTAGTTAGTTAGTTTATTCGTTAACCAGTTATATTTTTCATTTCAACATCACGCAAGTTGTATACCAACCAAGCAAGAAATGCATAGTTAATACCTGACCGACCCGTAATGATAACCACCCTGCAACCAGTGTATAGTATGGTAAAATATATCAATTATTTTAAATAAGAAACCACTGAATGTATGTTGCTTATTGCCTTAAAAATCCGAATATTTAAAAAATTTGTTGATAAAAAACAGTGATACTTCCTGAAAGCGGAACTAAAACGGGAGCGAGGGTAATTAAAAAAAAATGGGCCTATTGGTAGAAGAATTTGCGTTTTATTACAGGTACTACTTACATAAAACTATAAATCACCGATTTTGTAGAGATAAAACATATTTAACATAATTATGAGCTTATTCAGGGCGTGAGGGTTGTATGGGGGCTAGGTGAGATCATTTACCGATTAATTTTTAATAGTACGTATTTATCCTTGGACCAAAAGGGGTGCCAATTTTCTTTAATTTAAATTGAAAACTGCGACACACAGACGGATGCACGGACTTAGCTTAATCGACTCAGAAAATTATTCTGAGCCTATGGTATACTGGTGGGCGTAGGACTAAAATTTTTGGGTATTACAAACATCAGCACAAACGAGCAATAAGCTCCCCATTATAGTGGAAGAGAGTATACAAATTTATGGTATGACTTTAAGAATTTAAATATAACAATTACCTTAACAGAATTAACAAAAAAATATTAAAAACAACATTAACCTAATCCTTTCTTTTTAAACTTACGGTATGATACATTCTATACATATGTACACATGTATATAATTTATCTATAAAACATGTATAAGTCTTCGTGCTTGTATGGAGTATTTTTTTAAATAAACATGCAAGCCAACAAAACCAAAACCATATCAAACTAAACCAAATTAAACCGAACCATATAGCCAACATAATAATATTGTACTATGTTGAGCTCTGATACATGGTTAGGAATCGTTGAAAATTTAAACAACATTTTAGTTTAGTTTAGTGACTATGAAAATTGATACACCGCACCTAGACGTGCTTGCCTTCCATATCAAATTATCTTTGAACATGCAATAAAGAAAACACAAAGCAAAAAAAAAAACGGAAAAAATAAAAATTAACAATAAAACGAAAGAGGAACTAGAGAATAAAGGTAAATGTAAAATGTTTGTGTAACGATGCCGGAAATGATATTCATCACATTTAAACGAATACAAGCAAAGAGAAAATGGCTGTATACATGAGTTCTTTTGCTACTGCTGCTAAAAAGTTTTAAATTGTTATATTACATGGTAGCTGGTAGCTAGTATGTAATTAAATATTTTACTTTTAATACATTTTTGATGTTTACTCATTATTTGCAATTAGCTTTAACATTATATTACTGTCTTTTTTCTCTTCCTGATTTTTATTTCAGGTTTTAAGTGAGGAGAACTCAGGTGGCCGCCTTAAATTCAAGACCATTAAATCCGAAGAAACAAAATCAATTTTACTTATTGATGATGCATCTCTTTTAGATTCTGGCAAATATTCATGTTATCCATCAAATACAGAAATTGCCAGTATAAGGGTACATGTGTTACAAGGTAAGTGGAACATTAAATATGAAAACAGAAATAAGGTTTGAAAATATACAAGTACTCTATATGTAATGAGGTGAAAAAAACTACAAAATCATTTATTTTATCTTCATGAAATGTAAAGAAAAATTAGTATAAATATGTAAACATTAGGGGAGTAGTGGGAGCATTTCATATCTGCTCTACAACATTGGGTAAACTATGGATAGATGTATATATTTTAGACCTTTATATTGACTTTATGGATCCTACAATCGACAAGACTATAGACTAGACTATGGACTAGACTATGGACTACACTATAAAGTAGACTATAGACTAGACTATACAATGGACTATAGACTAGACTATAGACTAGACTATAGACTAGACTATAGACTAGACTATAGACTAGACTATAGACTAGACTATAGACTAGACTATAGACTAGACTAGACTATAGACTAGACTATAGACTAGACTATAGACTAGACTATAGACTAGACTATAGACTAGACTATATACTAGACTATATACTAGACTATAGACTAGACTATATACTAGACTATAGACTAGACTATAGACTAGACTATAGACTATACTATAGACTAGACTATAGACTAGACTATAGACTAGACTATAGACTAGACTATAGACTAGACTATAGACTAGACTATAGACTAGACTATAGACTAGACTATAGACTAGAATATAGACTAGAATATAGACTAGACTGTGTACTAGACTAGACTATATAATAGACTACACCATAGACTAGACTATAGACTAGACTAGACTAGACTAGACTAGACTAGACTAGACTAGACTAGACTAGACTAGACTAGACTAGACCAGACTAGACTATAGACTACACTATAGACTACACTATAGACTACACTATAGACTAGACTATGGACTAGACTATAGACTAGACTATAAAGTAGACTAGACTAGACTAGACTAGACTAGACTAGACTAGAATAGACTAGACTAGACTAGACTAGACTAGACTAGACTAGACTAGACTAGACTAGACTAGACTAGACTATAGACTAGACTAGACTAGACTAGACTAGACTAGACTAGACTAGACTAGACTAGACTAGACTAGACTAGACTAGACTGTAGACTAGACTGTAGACTAGACTATAGACTAGACTGTAGACTAGACTATAAACTAGACTATAGACTAGACTATAGACTAGACTATAGACTAGACTATAGACTAGACTATAGACTAGACTATAGACTAGACTATAGACTAGACTATAGACTAGACTATAGACTAGACTATAGACTAGACTATAGACTAGACTATAGACTAGACTATAGACTAGACTATAGACTAGACTATAGACTAGACTATAGACTAGACTATAGACTAGACTATAGACTAGACTATAGACTAGACTATAGACTAGACTATAGACTAGACTATAGACTAGACTATAGACTAGACTATAGACTAGACTATAGACTAGACTATAAACTAGACTATAGACTAGACTATAGACTAGACTATAGACTAGACTATAGACTAGACTATAGACTAGACTATAGACTAGACTATAGACTAGACTATAGACTATAGACTAGACTATAGACTAGACTATAGACTAGACTATAGACTAGACTATAGACTAGACTATAGACTAGACTATAGACTAGACTACAGACTAGACTATAGACTAGACTATAGACTAGACTATAGACTAGACTATAGACTAGACTATAGACTAGACTATAGACTAGACTATAGACTAGACTATAGACTAGACTATAGACTAGACTATAGACTAGACTATAGACTAGACTATAGACTAGACTATAGACTAGACAATAGAATGAACTATAAATTATACTGTAGACTAGACTATAGAGTAGACTACAGACTAGTCTATAGGCTAGACTATAACCTAGACTATAACCTCAGCTATAGGTTTGACTATAAATTAAACTAGACTTTAGACTAGAATATAGACTAGTTTAGGAATTGTTTTAGTTCTTTGAGGATTACAGTAACAAATCTGTTTTAGTCGTCGGGACAAAAACTAAACGCCCTAATACAAATACATATCTCAAATTTTACTAACACTTATGCACTGCAAGAAAATTAATTTTTTTTACTTTACTTTCTATGGTTTTTTTAATGTTTAAGTATACACTTAAAAAAACTTAAAAGTTTTTTTAACAACAAACTAAAGAAATTAATGGCCACTTAATATTGATATAAATTTATTTGGTTAACTTTAAAAGGAAGTACATGGTTAAAATTGTAATATTTTTTTTTCACAGTGTACTAATAATATGATGCAGCTGATTACAGCTTTTTATATATTTGTATTTTTTCCGCTTTTACTTGTTTAGCCTAAATATTACATCTTAAAATGATGTTAAGATTAAACACGATTTTTCTCTATATAAAATATCTAACATTATTTAAGTACACAAACATTTGCAAAATGAAATGTGTGCAAATATTACAAACTTGAACACTTACCTACTTATTTAAACAAAATATTGTCGTCATTCACTTTAGTATTTTTGCGATAATATTATGACGTTGCTGCCATTATAAATAAAATTGTTTTTTTTTTGTAATATTTCATTTGAAAATATCATCATCATATTAGCGAAGTGCTTAATAAAAATTAAGTCAAAAGCATACTTAAAGCATGTTTGTGTTGTAAAAAAAACAAACACACACGATTAAAATTGTGTATTTAAAGCACTTCTTTGCACATCTCAATGATTCATTGAAATTAAGCGGAAATGATGCAAAACATGTGTGGGTGTGTAAGTGCAACATTACTGGCAACTTTTTTAATTGCATACTATGTATTTATAAAGGGAATAGTAGTGAAAGAAAATGGCTTATGAAATCATGTTACTTTATATTTCTGCTTGGTATGTTTTTGAAATTTACTTTCATTTTCAAAGTGATTATATATATTAAGATGTATTTTATTGATTAAATTTCGTATGGAAAGCAACGGAATTTACAACAAATAAGAAAGTTCTTAAGGACCAATATTTTTATGAGTAACAAACATGGGCACAAATACTCTTCCCACTAAAGTGATGTAGGTTATAAAAATGTGAATGTTAAAGTTTAACTTTTGATACTTTTACAATTTTTGATAAGACATGTAAAGTAAAGCCAGAAATCTTCAAAGTAAGACAACTCGGGTATATGATAAATTAAAACGGTTAAAAGTGGCGCAGTAGAAACATTTTTAGGGCTTAAATTGAAAATTGCGACCTGTAGAGTGCGCACAAGGTTTACATGGTCACACAGACGGACAGACAGACGGATGGACGGACAGACGGATGGATGGACAGACAGACGGATGGACGGACAGACAGACAGACGGATATAGCTAAATCGAAAGTGATTTTGAGCCGATTTGTACACTTTAAGGTTTGTGTAGGACTGTTACATATATAGGCATAGACACATAATACCCTACCCACTATAGTGGTGCAGGGTATAAAAGCATTTAAAAATACAAAAAAAAATAATTTCCATGTCTGAGTTTGGGATTTACAAGTGGGTTTTTAGAGCATTTAAACTCTTAACAATTAAACAAGGGTTTTGCGGAATTCTCTTAATGCACACTACAAGTGACACACAAACATATAAAGATTTCCTATGTCTGATTTAAGGGGTTAAGACGGTATATAAATCATTCATCTTTTCATTCAAATGTCCTTACATCTTTTTAAACATACAAACAAATAAAATTCATTTAAGTTTATGCAATTCATTTCTTGTTCTTATAATTGTACTTGAATACTTTTAAAAATTTTCCCCTTTTTGTAGAATATTTATGTGTTTACATTTTCTGCGTTTTTTTTTTCAGGAGAACGCCCTGAGGCAATGCAAACAAATGCAGCTGTAGCAACTAAAGTGCAAACTTCAAACCCTTTTACAGCTATTACCACATTTGTGGCAACATTAGCATTATGGTATGCGCTAGCAACGTTTGTTAAAAATCTACAAAATATCAGCAATGGCACGAGCAGCAGCAGCAACAATCTCATAACAATAAAAGCTACTACAGCAGCCGGTAGCGAAAATAAAAGTGGCAGCAATTTTTACAATAATAAGAAAAGTAACAACAATAAAATAAACAACGGCAATAGCAGCAGCAACATCAACAGCCACAGCAACAATAATAATAATAATAGTAAAAGTGGTAATTGTGCTTCTACGGATAATAATGCAGACTATGATGACGACAACGACATCAGCGATGACAGCGTCAGCGACGATAAAGACGATGATAATGGCAATAATGCTGATTTTATAGCAGCCACAACAGCAACAATAACTAAATGTAAAGGAGATTTTTGTAAAGAAATATGCAACATCAACTTGGTTTATTGTGCCGAAGAGCAGCAACAGCAACATCAACCCCAACAACAGCCACACAATACTAACGTAAAATATTTCAAGAGTTTTAATATTATTCTTAAGAAATGGAATCAAAGTCATGCTTTGCGGTGATTAAATAATTAACAATCTAAAATTACCATAAAAAATGGTAATTACAATGTAATGTTGTTGTAAATACAAGTAATTGTAATACTTACTTTATTTCTTTTTTTTATACTTATATATTTATATATTTCTTAATTTGTGTGCAATAATACATAAAACGTTTTGTTTTATTTTTCAATAATAATAACAATAAATTAAATAAGTGAACATTAATTGTATGTAGTCTTGTAAGGGGAAAAAAACTGAAAAAATACAGAACAAAACTTTAAAGAAACAAAAGTTTTAAAAAAACTTTTACTTGAAAAAAAAAAAAAAAAATTATGATAAATAGAAACCTAAAAGTATGCTGTAAATAATAACGGTAATAAAAATTACTCAATGTATATTTAAACACAGTAATATGGATGGTCTTATTTTTTTTTAATTTTGGTTACAAATCTTACACAGTAAATTTATTTAATAATTTTTTTGTTATAATTTATTAGTAAATTATTTTTAAAGAATATTAATTTTAAAGAAAAGGAATAAATGGCTACATTCGCCTTGATATTCAAATATACTCTTTGGATTTGAAATGTTCTTCATTATTTCTAAAAAAAATTTCACTTGTTCAGTAATATACATACATATGCACACATTGTAAACGAATATAAACCACTTTGAGCTTTTTGATGAAACCTGCTGCTCGCAATATTTGATTTGATTTTGATTTTTGCAAAGTCCTGTTGTGTTCAGCAACAATCTTCAAATGCTAATGCCTCCTGGTCTGGCCTGGTCTTTGTCTTCCGTGTTAAAAACTAAACTTCTCTTTATCAACTTCTGCCGAATTTTAGCATTATACAAGTGTATAAGAGAATCATAGTTGTTCAAGTCATTTACTGCAATGGGGACTTTGTATTGGGATGAGGTGAGGCCCGATCGTTACGAAAATCGGCAGCGTCATCAACTTGTTTAAAAGATTGTTGTGCGGATTTATTGATAATTTTAAGTCTAAAAGTGCTTTTCGATGTTGTGTACAGGGAGTTTGTCCCTAAAAAAATAAATATTTAAGACAAATTTCATCAAATTATGTTAAATATTGAGACTGTTTACAAGGACATACAGACGGACATAGTTAAATCGACTCAAAAAGTAATTCTGAACCGATTTATATGCATTATGGTGGGTGTAGGACCAACATTTTAGTGCGATAATCGATCAATTATACTTTTCAATTCCCTCTGAGTAGCTTACTGATATTCAACTCATCTGCTCTTCTGTCTAAATTACGTGTCCTTTATTTTAGTATTCCTGTTCTGTACATCGTCCGTCATTCCGTGTGTAACACCTAGACATATTCATCTGACATCCAACATAGGTATATTCTGGTTCCGTCTGTCTGTCCAACTGTCTAAACCACGCTCACTTTAAAACTAAGTAAAGGAAGTCTTCCAAATTCCAAAAATATTGATATTGAAAATCAGCAAAATCGGTCAACTTTCGGAAATCACTTAAATGGTCATAAATAATCCAATATAAATCTAATATAATCTCATTGGTCCCATATACGGTAAATGGACATAACTAATTAAAAAACACGGGCCTATCCTTACAAATTTTGCTAAAGGAATTTAAGTCCACATTAAAGTTATTTATTCAGAATTTCATCGTGTTATTGGTGTTAACAAGTGAATTTTGACCTTCAAGTCAAATTATGAAAATAAGTTTATATTCGGGGCTAGGGTCTGATCATTTCGAAAATTGGCAGTATTATTTAGACTTTTAAAAACCAAAGTGGCGAAATAATGATCCGATTTTAACCATTTTCAGTAAGCTCTGTTCTTGGGTCAAAAGAAGAGTATGTACCAAATTTCATCAAATTATCTTGGAAATTGCGTCATGTAGCGTGAGCATAAGATTTACATGGACACTCACACAGACCGAAGGACACAAAGACAGACAGACATAGAAAGTGTTCCTGAGGGTTATATAAGGGTAAGGGTAGATATGGACCTATGCTTATAAATTTGGCTACATGAATTTACCTCCACATTAAAGTTATTTAGGTATGCAGAATTTCATCGTATTATTAGTATTTATAAGTGAATTTTGACCTTCAAGTCAATTTATGAAAAGGAGTTTTTATTCAGGACTAGGATCTGATCATTACGAAAATCGACTGTATCATTTTGACTTTTATAAAACAAAGTTTTTCCGATTCTTGTTGAGATACTAGAACATTTAACATAATTATAAGCTCAAAAGCCGTATTCCGGGAGTACGATTGCATGGGGGCTAGACGAAATAATGGATCGATTTTAACCATTTTCAATAGGCTTTGTTCCTGGATATGAAGAATATGTACCAAATTTCATCAAATTATCTTGGAAATTGCGTCCTATAGCGTGAGCACAAGGTTTACATGGACAGACGGACATAGAAAGAGATTCTGAGCCGATTGGTGTTCATTAAGGTAGGTGTAAGACCAATATTTTTGGGTGTTACAAACATCAGCAAAAACTCATAATACTCTCCCCATTATAGTTGTGTAGGATATAATAAAGACATAGAAATAAAAATCGACTTAAATATGTTCTATGCATATATGTATGTATCACTATATGAAAATAAAGAGTTATTCTAGTGTAAAATGTTCAATAAAAGTGGCAAAATTTTAATAATTTCAAATTATTAAAGTTCTACGGTACACTGTGCATTAGTTGAGTTATAAAATATTTACCAGGAAACTTATATTTTATTTTAAATTTCTTAAATTGTAATCATTATTATCTTTATACGTTGTAATTACAAGTACTTTATTATGCACAAAAAAAATATATGTATTTTGATTACCCTCATTATTATTTGACTTGAAGAGTAAAAAATCCTTACACTTTTCTAAAGAAATATACATCACAAAAAACATAAAACACAAAAACATCATCAGGTATTAAATACCTTTAAATATAAAAGAAGAAAAGAAAAACCAACCACTAACGTTAGTGATAATTAAGTCAGTATAAAAAAGCCATTCAAGAAAATTAATAAAAAATAAAGAAAAATGCATAAAATACTACTAGAGAAAAAATATAAAAAGAATTATTACAAAAATGTAGTATTTATATGAACAGCAAAGAACAAGAGAAAAAAATATGAAAATACTTTTTTCACTACATATTTTCAAATATTATATTTCATAGAAAAGTTGTAAATATTACACAGGTGTTTTCAATTGCCTTTCTCAATAGTTTATTTGAATCTTTTATAACGTATTGTTTTACTTATATTTTATTGAAAAGAAATGAAAAATATGAAGTAGGTATTATATTTTTCTTATGAAAAATATATTTCCTTTACTTTTTTATTTTATTATTTAAACAATTATGTGACAATATATCAAAAGACTTCTTGAGAAACACTTTAGCTATCTGACACTTCAAGTACACTGGCGCAGACAACTAATATCAAGTGAATTGATAAAGAGCAGATACTATAAAATATTTGTACATTTTCTTTTTTCTCTTTTCAATTTTAAATGATTTATTTTGGTGTGTGTTTTTTCAAGTTTAATATTTTCTTATCGGTTTTAAATAAGTTTGGTTGTTTAAGTGTTTAAAAAGTTTAAAATTCACATGGGAATTGGAAAAAATTAAAAGAAATAAAGGCAACGGTTTTGAACTTTTAAAAATTACCGAACAAATTGTATTTAAATTGAAAGCTATAAATTTGTTTATCTAAATGTTTAAATTAATAATAAACGGAAATTAATTTAAACTACAAATGTTCAATCGTTTGTTCATAAATTTTTCCTACCACAAGATATGTATAAAGTTGCTCTGTATTAATTATTTTGTTTGTTTAAAAATTGACCAAAATAATGAAATTTTTCTTCAAAAACAAATATCTTTTGTATGGGTTCACAAAAACATTTTAAAAAAAGCTTTAATCAAATTACTCTCTTTGTTTTTCTTTTTAATAAAAAACAAAATGTTCTTCATATAAAATTTTTGCATTAGGGTCGGTTGCATATTAAAAACATATTTTTTTAATCTTCAAGACTGGGTATTTATAAAAATCATACCTAAACATTTTAACAGAAATCCCTTCAGTTTGATATATGATATGATGACGAATACATCGCTCATTTACTACAAGACCGTTATAAATCAAAAAAACTTCGTTTTAAGTAAAAAAGCATTAAAAGTGATATGACATTTTAAATTTTTTTTTAAAATGATTTTCAAACAGATTGCCGGATTATAAAGCAGGCATTAAAACGTTTCTTATCTTAAATATACCAATACAACCAGAATCTTTACCGATGTTTCTAAAATGAACTGTGGTGTTGGTTCTGGCGTCTTCTGTGAAGAAGCTGGGGTAAATATATCTCAACGTCTTCCCAACAACTGTAGTGTTTTTCAAACTGAAATATTTGCGATAATATCAGCCTGTAGGGTACCATATAACCTCAATATTCGTACTTCTCTCACTAGCTCCAATCTTGAACCAACCATCCGATTATATTACCCTAAACACGGATTTTGATAGAATTTTCAAATTCAGACCACTCGAGGAGCGAGTGGTGTAGGGGTAACCTACCGAGCGACTATACCACCAGAATCTTTAGAGATGGTTCTAAAATGAACTGTGGTGTTGGTTCTACTGTCTTTTGTGAAGAAGCTTACCGTCTTCCCAAAAACTGTAGTATTTTTCAGCCTGTAGGGATAATGTCAGCCTGTAGGGTACTACATGACCTCAATATTCGCAGCAACTCAATATTCACTAAACACCTATACTACCACTTCCCTATTAGTTAGACAATGCAAGAAATAATCTTTCAAGACTGGGTCGCCTGTCTGACATGCAACTTGTTTGGGATACAAGCCAAGGCGGCTTAAATGGGCGGCTGCTGGCCGCCGTTAATATTTGGTAAGCCGCGCCACCGCCGACTTCTTTCGGCTCAAAAGCTTAAGACGGCTTAAACGTAGCCGCTGATAAAGCTTGGAATCGCACAGGTATTTTAAAATATTTTAAACAATTTGAAATGTCAATTTAGCCGCCGGTATTTTCTAAAATAAGCCGCCGCCGCTGATCAAAAATGGTTGCGCCACCGCCGCCGATCATTTTGCATCAGCTTGTATCTCTGGTCCCTGCACATAAAGACTACTACTAAAATGAACAGACAAAACAGACAGAACAAACAGAACAGACCCTCCTTCAATGAGAAATGCACAAAATATCTTATAAACCGAAGTAGGCGGGATATATTGAGGTTGATAACAGTAATAATAGGACACTGGGTGCTAGGCAGACATGCAAGTCTGCTTGGGCTGCTCTTCAATGAACACTGTTGCAGTTGCAAAGACAGGGAAATGGAAGAAACGATCTTCCATCTACTTCATATCTAGTTCCATCTAACTTCATACCTAACCTTGGTGAGATATATTGGTCTAAGCTTAATGATATCCTGAGAATTCCCATGGCAACAGCCTGGATCCAGTCGAAACGGAGTCTTCTACTCTACTGGACTTTTTGCATGCAGTGAACTACCACATTAACCAACAAACCAACCATGCCAGCATTATAGTAAATGAGCGATATGTAGCATACACTTCTGTTCCATAAGCCTACTTTTGTTTTCAGTATCAGTCAGATTTTCTAGTAAAAAATTTTTTAAAATTTAAATTAAAAGATTGCTGCCTCCTTATTGTGTGTTTTAGTGCAAAACTATAAAATCATAATAAATTTATTTGACACCCATAAACAAATTGTTTATCTAACTTGACTTGTATGAGGCTTTGATATATAAATCAAGTTATATTTTTAGTTTTATGTATATTTTATATAATTTTAATACAAAACTAAATTTTCACAGTGATAAATTTGTTATACAAATATTTATATATAAACAAAATTTCTTTTTAATTTCTTAAAATAACAAAAAAAAAATCACACAAACATACTAATATTTATATAGTCACAACAACAAACAATTTTTTTCAGCTTTAAAAATTTGTATATGAAAAAATTTTTGTTTTTTTTTCTTTAATTTAAAAATTATCATTTGCAAATAAATCATTTTATAATTGAATGTCCATCCAATATAAAACAATATAATTTGTGTATATTTTTATATTTTTAAGTATATAATATTGTGCGAATATAAATATAATATAGAAATTTATGTAAATAGTATTGTTTTAAACGATTTTTTTTATTTTTAAATGCAAAAACAAACGAAAAACACAAAAATTTAAATATAAAATGCTTTTAAAATAAATGTAGATAATTTGCATATGATAGCAAAAATTTTTCTAGAAATATATAATTATAATATAACATACTATATAATAAAAAATATATAAACATATAAATAAAGTTAATTTAAATATAAATATTATAAGTGAATAAATATTTGTGTAAAATATAATGTTCTTGAAAATAATTTAATTAAAATATAAAAAAACTTAGTTAAATAATGGAGTACAGAGTACAGAATATATATTTAAAAAAAAATATTGATTGAAAGAAATGGGAAAAAATAACAATATATATATATAAAACTGTCTGAAATACATAAATAAAACTATAATATCTGTATACAAAATACATTTGAAATACATATAAGAAAAGTGAAAAAAAGAAGAATACTAATAAATAATTAAACTATTTGTTAAAACAAAGAAAATTTTAGCATTTTATTTGAATATTGACTTTAAAGGTAAGGCACTTGTTAAGCCACTCCTTGCTATTTCACTGCAGAAAGGAAAAAAAGAAACAAATATCTCGTCTTCTAATAGGTATCACTCCATTTATACGCAAAATTATACTTTGAAAAGAAAAGAAAACTCCTGGAATTTCCCTTTAATTAAGAGTTCTAAATAAAATTAAAAGTTAAAGTTTTCTTATAATTATACTTAAATTATGAAAAACCTTTACTCCCAATTTATTAGCTTCTTATCAATAAACAAGCAAATCACACAAATTCAAATTCGAATAACAACAACATCTACTTAATAACACAATCCCCTAGCTATTAATGCAAATTTGTCTGCTTTTATCAATCTCATTTGTCGTTTCACACTTTTAATAACTAAACACTTCATTAACTGAATTGATTTCGTACATCGACTCGTATGAGTAATATGTAATTCCTTAGGCGCAGAAATAATAATCATACGTCACATAAACCAAAGAATGTTTAGGGAATTGTATAATAAATAAATAATAATATATACAAATATTCATGTTGCTATAAATGTTTTGCAGCCAGATTGATTAGAATAAGATTTTTGTGAAATAAAACAAAAAATGTAATATTAAAACACCAGACAGCCTGTCAACACTCAGCGCCTCATTTATATACATACATACTAGCATACCCAGGGGTGCTTCGCTACCCTAAACAAAATTAAATACATAAAAAATTTTGTTTACTTTTATAGAAAATTAATATTGATTAAACAATTTTTAATGTTTCAGTTTTTTACGTTCAATATCACGTGAATAAATTCGCATTCAGGAAGATTCTTATACTTTCAGTTTCATTCGTTTTATAGAAAATTTCGAAAGTAATATTTGAAAAAAGTACAATCAAAAATTTTATGTCTCTGTGTTAAATATTATATACAGCTCAAAAAATATAATTTGATGAATGGAAAAGTACCAAAAGTCCCTATCAGTGGATTCTCATTCACTAAGGTCACTACATTTTAAATTTTATATTTTTATGTTCAATATCGCAAAACTATCAAAAAGTACCATCGGACAAACAAAAAAAAAAGTACAAAAATAATAAATAAATTCTCATTTAGTAAGGACCGTGTGTCATGTGTTCCGGTTAACCATTATAGATAATCCAAAAGGTACCATTTGAAGAATGGAAAAGTATCAAAAAGTACCCACTTACAGAATATTATTCAGTCAAGACCATGTTAAAATTTATATTCGTCGGTTAAATACTTTAGAAAATTCAAAAAGTATCATTTATGAAATAAAAAGTACTAAAAAGTTCCCTCTTAAATAATCTTACTCAATGAGGACCGTGTATGTTTAATAATCAAGTGTTTTGAATTAATATTATAGAACATACAAAGAGTATTATTTGAAGAAAGAAAAAGTACCAAAAGTAGAATTAATTCTACCTTAGTGGAGTACTAATAAAAATAGTACAATTTTTAATTTTTTCGCTTAGAAATATACTTTTTTGAGAATTAAGTTTATAAAATGTTCCGTATTTAAATCTATATATCACAAATAGAATTCAATCGATTCAAATTTGCATTAATTTGTTCCAGAAAAATTGTGCTTTCAAAAAATACCAACCAATTTGGTATCCTATATAGAATTTGGACCTATATAGGCCTATAGATCAATAGCTTATTTTGTGTGAGTAAATAAACTACTTTTTTAAATTTGAATAAAATTAAATTTCCCGTTTTTCCCCTTTTTTGGTACTTTTTTCCCCAGTGAAATAGTAAAAATTCTGTTTCAATAAATATTACAAAGTTAGTCCGTAATTTAATAGGAATACTTCAATAAATCAAAAAAGTTTTCTTAATGTGCAAAAAAAGGACCAA